CTGATCACCACATCACCCTGACCGTGTTCTGTCAGTTTGGTGTCCGTCCTCATTTTCCCAGGGGTTTATGGGTAATTGCTTCTTCTGCCAAATTGGGGTTTGGTTGGCCCACTAAGCAAAGTCTTTGGGGTGCCAAACTCACAGGTCCTGGTCAGCACGACCCTCTGACCGCACTCTGTGAGTTTGGTGTCCCTCGTCCATTTACGCTATGAATTATGGGTACCTGAAGTTTGAGAAAAACGGGGTTTCTGGTTCGCCCACTAGGCGGAGACGTAGAGTCACGAAACTCGCAGGGTGTCGTCGGCTTGAGGCCACGACCTAGCACGTAAAGTTTTGCGTCCCTGCGCCTTTCGCCCTAGGTGTTCTGGGTACTTGTATTTTGGACGAAACTGGGGCGATCCCCCCTTCGTTTAACGCCCTAAACGGGGTCCGATCTGAGCGGGGTCGACGCCTACGCGTCCGTCGGAGGCCCGGCAACAACATATACGAAAACGGCGAGTCTGGACCCAGTAGAAAAAAAATGTCTCTAAGAGGCCCAAATTTTCCATCAAAGTGATCTGTGGGTCTTAGACACTTAGACCCTCTTTTGGCTGACTTTTCAGAACGAATTTTTTTCTAAAACCGCTGGGGCCAATATGACACTGGATTCTTATTCGGGGTCCTCCCAGCACCCCACGCTTCTATTTTGGGGTCTCTACACCCAACGACCAGGGACTTGTGGGTAATTTTCCCCTGGTCCGACGAGGCGCTCGTTAACCCCCTAAACGAGGTCGTTCCTGCACCAAACTCACAGGTCCTGTTCTCCACAACCCCCTGACCGCGTTCTGTGCGTTTTGTGTCCGTCCTGCATTGTTGCTAGGATTTATGGGTAATTGTCCTCCTGCCAAATTGGGGTCTGCTTGACCCACTAAACAAAGTTCTTTCAGCACCAAACTCACAGATCCTGATCGGCACGGCCCCCTGATTGCGCTCTGTTAGTTTCGTGTCCCTGTTGCATTCAGGCTAGGATTTATGGGTAAATGAAAAACTTGCTTCCCCTTAATGGACACGAACGGTACCTGAGGGGCATGGCCAAGTCATTATAATATGAATTAACAATGTGAACGGACGGTGCCCGTGACGGGCACGGCCAATACATTATAATATGAATTACCAATGTGAATGGACGGTGCCCGTCTTGTACTTTTTATGCCCCTAACATGGAATTTCACGCTCCATAACTCCTGAACGATTAGGCCGATCGTCACGAAACTCAGCGAGTCTTGTACCCTCTTAAGCCACTACAAGTACGTCGAAGCACAACCTTCTAGGTGGTTCCCAAGTCTACTTCCGGTTAGCAACATAGCAAGTATTAGCGAATGATTGCGTTTTGCCGAGAATGTCCAGGAGATGCTCGGGTGCGAGTTTCGTGTAAATCCTTCATTGGTAAGTGCCTAAAAAAAGTCAAAAACTCTAAAGGTCAATTAGAGGTCACAGATGGGTCCCCCCCCGCCCCCAAGACACAGCCTCCCCAAATCTGGGACCAATCCCCAACATTTTGACAAAAAGTTGTATTTTATCATTTTTGACAGGTTGGTGGCGCTAGAGAGCAGAAATGTGTTGTGCGTGCCCGTTATGAACACTCTATGCCCATCCGTTGGCGTCCT